GGATCTATGGGAGATAGGAGTTGAAGGAGACTGGATTTTGTTGGCCCAGGACAGGGTCCGGTGGAGGGCTTTGGTTAGTTCGGTGATGAACCTTCGGGTTCCGTAAGCCGTCTGGTTGGTTGGTTAGTTATGCAGTTTCCCGTGTGTTTATTAATGTACGAGGGATTTATTGTAATCTGCCTTGTCTGTGTGTGTAATCATTCGTCAGTGGCGAAACCTCTTTCAGAAGCCGGATCACGCGGAAATAAGCTATTCCGATGATGATGAGCCATTGTGAAATATTTCTCTTCTCCCTCCGCAGTTTTGGCCAGGGCTTTTTCTTCACTGCTGTTTATGTTTTTGGACTCCCGGGATCGAGGAACAGAACTGCAGACGATTAATGCGTTGTTTCCCGAACCTCAGGGTCCATGGACTGCAGCTTTTTAAAGTCTAATGTCTGTCCGTCCTTTGGTCGTGCAACTCGGAGGACATCAGCCAAAGCCACGAAATCGGGGCCGAGGGTCACAGAAAAGTTCAGCTTCGCGCGATGTTCATAACGTGCGAGCGCCTAGTTCTTATCGCTGTCCGTGTTCTGCGAGTAAAGTCGCCCGTGTGAGGAAGCCGACGTCCTCTTCAGGGCGTCCCTCCAGGCAAGCAGCCTCCGGGAATCGAACCCCGTTTACGTGTCGTCAGTCGTTGGAGTCTGTAAATCCTCGTTCCGAAATCAGTTTAATCTCCACGCCTTCCATTCTAATAGCCACAGCGAATTGTCTGTAGGCCGGCCATTTTGTTAGAGTGCGACTGACAACAAATCATAGTCGAGAAGCTAAATTGGAAACAGAATTTAAGCCACACCGGACGTCGTGTGCAGGAACTCGGTAATCAGGAAGCAGAATTCGGCCCCAGGTCCTCCCAACTGCATTTCTCGCAAGAAGCAATTCTGTTCTTTTCCGTTTGCCTTTGTGAGCAAAGTGGTTCGTACCAAAAATCACTTTCTTCGGGCAATTTGTGGTGTTTTGAGGAAGAGGACACGGAATTTTAGAAATGCAAGGACGTGCCTTCATTACTTCGCAGTGACAGCGCGAACTTGGAGCACGTTTTCAGCTGTGTTCTGCGATATGAGACGATCTGAGAACTGGTTCTCGGAAAACCGGTTGGTGAATCAGACAAGGCTGAGGGCTCCTGGGCTGCGGAAGGAGCGAATGTGGGCAAGGACTGGGTAGGAGCGGTGGGTGGTGCATCCTCTCCTTGGCCGAAGTTGCGACAAACTCCAATACGCTCGGAGTTTTTGATTATGTCGCGAGTGAATTGGAGTTCAAATCTGAATTTCGAGGCGCGATCGCTGTCAGAGACGGCACAAGAGTTTCAGATCGACGTACGTCCACAGTTCGAATCTCCTGGCATCCCATCGGGTCCTTTAATTGTGATGACATCATGTGGCGTAGCGGAGGGTCATCCATCAAGACGCCGGCGCGGATTAGTTGACTTTTGGACAGAATTGCTGCAGTGCCACGTGACACGAATATTTTCTGTTGAAGGCCCTCGAATTCTGTTCTTCTGCGTTTTGAGGTGTTTGTGATTCCGTTGCTCTCAGACTCAACAGTCGCCGGCGATGCCCCTCTCTTACTGCAGCACAGGCGAAGGCGAAGGCGAAAGGCGACCTCGTGGCACTGACTGAACGCGGGTTTGCCCACGGAGGAGACTCGTTCGTCTTTCCCAACTAATGCGTTCGTATTAGCCCCAGTCTCGTGCTGCGTCGGAGTGCGAGCGAGCAGACCCTCCCGGTGGGCAGTCTGTCCGGGTCGTCCTCAAAGCAACGCGTAAGCGAATCTCTGCAGCAAATTTCAGTGACACGGAAGTCTCTGGTCACACGTGCGCGCGCGATCTCAGGGTCGTGGATTGGTCCCGGGCCATATTTAACTGCGTCTGTGGCGTTCTTTGCTCGAAATCGGCAGTACCAACTGAGTGAGGCGGGGCTGTGCGGTGGTGGGGATTTGGGGGGGGGACACAGAACTTTGGTGCAGAAATTATTTGTTTTGTGTAAAATATCAACGTGATTGGATTCGATACTGCGACCCCATGCATACGAGAGCTGTGTCTCTTTCGCATAGCGGCATTGATTTATGGTACTTATTCAGGGCCTTAACATCCCGTGGTTTGTGTAGTTGGAAAATAAAGTCGTCTGCGAAGAACGCGTGAGTGTACTCAGGCACGCGTTGCGCCTTTCGGACAGTCGGAAAATCGTGCAGATCAGAAATGTTTGGCGTCAGTTTAGTTTTCGCCTGTGTTCTGATGACGTAAGAACCAAATCGTGGATTTCCACGAGATGAGTGGATGTTCTGAGGAATACCTAAAATTTGGGTTGGATGAAAGCGAGGTTTTGCGTGAGGTCGGAAAAGTGTCCTAGGCCTCAAGGCTTGCGGAAGACGGAACTCAAAAAACAGTTTATAACCTGTTTATTTATGTCGTGAACCAATAAGCCTTTCACTTTTCTTGAAATACAGGAGCTACACTTCAGGGGTCTTGGAGTTATTGAAAGTGTAAAAAAGCAGGACGAAATCCTCAACATCCCCCAGGCGTTTGGTTTAAAATTCTCCCTTGCAGTTCGTGTAAGGAAAAGCCGTTCTGTTCTCACCGCCAACATTTGCATTAGCTTCGGATGTCTCACTTGAACAACTGCAGTGATCGTGCGTCATCGAGTAGCTGCTGGTCTCAGACGTAGGTGGTCGTGGGATCGGAACTTCGTCCAGACAACTTCCTTTCATTGTTTTGTGCGGTAGTCGTGTTGTTCCGCATTTTCCCAAAGAATTGCTGCACCTGATTGGTTATAACGCTGTAGTGAATGCAGTTTCGTAATTTTTATTTTGATTGAGAAATTGATTTTGACTTCTCCATTATTTACCGGATTATCTGTAGTTTTACCCGCCAAAGTTGGCGGCAATGTTCCGTTTGTGTGGAAAAGTAATACAGCTTTATCTTCGCAAATCACGTGGGAAAAATATAACGCCAATAAATGCGAAAATATGTTTACAGCGATTGAAGCCGGATTTCTTGCTACTGGAGTCGTCATATCAGAATTTCGCAAAACTAAATTAATAAAAGAACGAAGCACGTGGTAAATTAAGTTTCCGGGACTGACGCTGGTAGCAAGGTAGATTCGACAACGACGACGCCTTAAGCAGTCGTCTCTCCGCCATCAAAACAGGTTTGATCATCGGCAAAGGAATTGTCTTTATTAATCCACGAGATCAGATCAGGAGCTGGAAAGTTTGGTAACTCAGGTCACGTACGTACGTTATATTTTATGTTCCCGTTTTTACGATGAACGTCCAACGTCGGTGAATACGAAGATGGCTGTCTTCTGAGTTGTAGCGCCGTCTAGTCTCGTATAAGCATACAAACGTTTCAGAAGTCTTTGCTGCCTCCATCGTCAGGGCGATAGTTGTAAATATTGTCCCGTAAGGCCTAATATCCCTCAACTGGGAATGATTACCAAGCAAGCAAGCAAGCTGCCAACATTTGATTTCTTCAGATGGACTTGGGTCGAGCCAAGGTCATCCTCGTACATTCTGGAACGGAACGTCGCATCTGAGTCGTTTCTTGTTGTTCGTGTCTAAATGAACAACAGGTCGAGGTCTGGCCGTTAACGAGGCGTGAGTCACTTTGGGTCCAGGAAGTGATGAAAATATTTCGAACAAATAGTGTCCTTAAAATTGTTGTTCAGACGCGTCTGAAGCGGCGAGACGAATGCACAGAGAAGAGGCTGTGTCTGGAGCACGTGGTTTTTGTCGGTGTCCGAAGGAGGGGACGACCTTGGTGTCTCTTTAACTGCCGCGAATTTTATTTTTTAATGGTTTGTGAGCGATTCGTCGGCGAGTCCTTTTTGCCAAATGTAGTTAACAAAAATAAATTCGCCCTCTTCCGAATGCTGTGGGATGTTCATTGTCATCTCATGCCAAAAAGTTGTAGGTTGGAAACCCTTTTTAAATGCATCTGCGCCCTGCACGGCTGTCGCGTATTTTCCTCGAGCTCTTTCGTTCGTTGGTGTCGTCGCTGTGTCCTTCAGCCTTAAATCTCTTCAAACAACTGTTTCGCCCGTTATTTTCACCGTCTGTCTCACTGCGTCTTTCCATTTGCATTTAAGGATCTGGGACGTTTCGAACTTTGGACTGAAATCTTATGGGGTGCTTGTTAATTCCTCGTGGAACCTTCTTCATATTAATCGGCGTTCCACCACTGACAGACTTCCCTGTATGATGATCG